AGGAGATCAACAAAGCCAAAAAAAAATGAAACGCATCTGTGAAAAAAAAAAAAAAAAAAAAAAAAAAAACAAAAAAAAACCCAAAAAACGGGGCGTAGGGAGGACTACAGAGACTGATATATCAACCAAAGACCATACATAGAGAGGAGCTAGACCTCCTGCCAGATGTAGCTCATAGATAGCTCAGTCTCCATGTGGGTCCCCTCATAAGGGGAGAAGAGACAGTCTCTGACATGAACTCAGTTGCCTGCTCCTTGATCACCTCTCCCTGGTGGGGCAACCTAGTCTGCCCACAGGGGAAGAGGACCCCAGCAGTCTTAATGGGACCTGATAGGCTAGGTTCAGAAAGTAGGGGAGGAAGACTTCCCCTATCAGTGGACTGGGGAAGATGCATAGGGAAGGAAGAGGGAGTCAGAGTGTGACTTAGAGGAAATGGAACCTGATAGGCTAGGTTCAGGAAGTAGGGGAGGAGGACTTCCCCTATCAGTGGACTAGGGAAGATGCATAGGGAAGGAAGAGGGAGTGAGAGGGGGACTTGGAGGAAATGAGAGAGGGGGCTACAAGTGGGATACAAAATGAATAAATAGTAAATAATAACAATACTGTCTCAAAACTGACATGTTAAAATTTACAGAAAAAAATTTCAAAGATATGTAACTGTGCTCCAAATATTCAAAAGTTGAGACATAAAGATAAAAAAAAAACCTCATATCAAATGTCTAGAACTGAATACTGAAAAATGAGGTTAAAATAAATTGAATATAGCAGCTAAATAGCAGCAAAGGTGATTGAAAAGACAGTAATAGATATTAACTTAAACAATACAGATTCTTAAGGAAGAAAAAAACAGGAAAAAGCAAAACAAAACACAGGCTCTAAGAGCAACAATCAATAAATGGGACCTCATGAAACTGAAAAGCTTCTGTAAAGCAAAAGACACTGTCGTCAGAACAAAACAATAGCCTACAGACTGGGAAAGGATCTTCACCAACCCTCTATCTGACAGAGGGCTGATACACAGCATATATAAAGAACTAAAGAACTTAGAAAGCAATAAATCAAGCAATACAATTAAAAATGGGGTACAGAGCTAAACAGAGAATTCTCTGTAGAGGACTACAGAATGGCAGAGAAACACTTAAAGAGATGATCAACATCCTTAGCCATCAGGGAGATGCAAATCAAAACGACCCTAAGATTTCACTTTACACCCATCAGAATGGCTAAGATGAATATCTCAAGTGAGAACACATGTTAGAAAGGTTGTGGAGAAAGGAGACCCTCCTCCATTGCTGGTGGGAATTTAAACTGGTACAACCACTTTGGAAGTCAGTCTGGTGCTTTCTCAGGAAATTAGGAATAGTGCTTCCTCAAGATCCAGCTATACCACTCCGAGGCATATACCCAAAATTTTCCCAAGTACACAGCAAGGACATTTGCCCAACCATGTTCCTAGCAGCTTTATTCATAATAGCCAGAACCTGGAAACAACCCAGATGTCCCTCAACGGAGGAATGAATACAGAAATTGTGGTGCATTTACAGAATGGAGTACTACTCAGCAATTAAAAACAAGCAAATCATGAAATTTGCAGGCAAATGGTGGGATCTAGAAAAGATCATCCTGAGTGAGGAATCCCAGAAGCAGAAAGACATACATAGTATATACTCACTTGTAATTGGATACTTGACCTATAATATAGGATAAACATACTGAAATCTATATACGTAAAGAAGATAAACAAGATAGAGGACCTAGGGTAAGATCATAAATCTTAGAAAGACAAATGGGATGGGCATTGGATGTAGGGGAAAACAATAACATGACAGGAGCCTACCGCAGAGGGTCCCTGAAAGACTACCTAGTAGTGTATCAAAGCAGATACTAAGACTCATAACCAAACCTTCAGCAGAGTGCAGGGAATCATATGAAAGGAGGGGGAGTTAGTATGATATGAATAGGATAGGAGCTCCACAAGGACCAAGTATATCTGAGTACTGGGGTCTTTTCTGAGACTGACACTCCACCAAGAACCTATGTTTGGATGAAGCCCGTAGTAGCTCAATAACCAATTTGTTTCCCATAGTAAGGGGAACAGGGACTATTTCTGAGAGGAAGTCAATGGTAGCTCTTTGACCTCCCCACCCCCCAAGGGAGGAGCAGTCCTGCTAGGCCACAGAGGAAGACTTTTCAGCCAGTCCTGAAGATACCTGATAAAATGGGGTCAGATGAAAGGGGAGGAGGTTCTCCCCAATCAGTGGACTTGGAAAGGGGCAGAGAGGAGATGAGGGAGGGAGGGAGGGTTTGGGAGGGAATGAGGGAGTGGGATACAGAGTTAATAAAATGTAACTAATAATAAAAAATAAAAATAAATCAAGCAAAAATAATAAAAACAAACAAACAACAATAACAACAAAACCCAAAGCACCAGAGAGTTACAGAACTATTCAAGTGCCCTAACATACATATTCAATTGGAATTCCAGAGGAGAAAGAAAAACTAAAGAAAAATGTTTCCTCAATTTCCAAATTTAATGAAAGACACAAACATGCTACATATAGTTAAATAAATATATATATAGAGAGAGATAAGGGTAATATCAGTTTCATTTCAGAAAACATTTCAAATGAGAATAATGTAAAATAAGACCTTTAATATACTGAAAGGGGAAAAAATACTAACCTCATATTTTATATTCTATAGCCACATCCTTTAAAACCAAATAGGAAGATGATAAAAGAAAGACACCTGGATTTGCCTGCTTCTCCTCCAACGTACAACAGAACATTAATTGTAGTGGCTATAGGGAAAGTTTGATGACATGAAAAGGTAAGGGAGTATACTAGCAAACATTAGAAAGCTGGTAGGATCCAGCAATGTTGAACTTTAGATTTGCAAAAGAATCTAACACAAACACAGCAAGAGAGGGAGAACATCTCCTTCAACAGAGCTTTAAGCCAAAGTGGTAAAAGAAAGTCTTTGAGTTTCATAGTATGGAGCTGTGAAATTAAGTAAATAAGTAAGTAAAAAAATAAGAGATCTGCAACCAGCATAGCAAGCAGATATTGAAGTGCAGGCCCAATCACTGATGCTGAGTAGAGCAATCATTTTGAGGTTTTACAGATCAAAACACTTTGAACAGAGAGAGCAGAAAACAATAGATTTTTCTCTTCAAACCCCAAAGTTTCCCCTTCTCCAATAACTGGGCAAGTAAATATCCTAAAACCCAGTGTGGGCACAGGAAACTGGTGGTAATTTAGATGTTAATTCACAAATACATTTTTGCTTTGGTGGAAAATACGAGTATGACTACAGAAGATAGTCCAGGTTGACTAAATCTGGAGGCCTTCAACTAGACCACTGGGAAGAGAGCAGCTGTGGGAGAATATTAGCAGAGACCAGTATTTCTAGATCATGCAGGATCAGTGTTCCATGCCTGACACTCTAAATACATATTGTGTTAGTCAGCAGATTAATACAATCTCAGAGCACTAAAAATACTTAGTGGAAACACAACCTGACTCAGGCATTTTTCATGCTCATATATAGACTGTCAGGGCATGCCTGGTGTGAAGGGGGATTCAACTGTTAGGAGATTCTTGGGCTCATCTCATTGAGGGCAGGTCCTATACTCTTGTATTGCCTGGCCTGGATGAGGAAAACACTTCCCAAAATACAGCCAAGGTCAAAATACTTTATTGCCTCATGGGAAAGGCATGGTTGGTATCAATCTGCTACCAGTTCATTTTGGCCAACCAGAGAGAAAACAATTAAATGCCCAAATTTCTGCTATACCAAGTAAATTGAAACAAAAGGATGAGATCTCCATATTATATATCTTCAGGAAGTGAGAAATATTAGCCTTTTATTGTTTCTTCTTGTACTTTGTTTTATATCCCTATTATTTCTTACATGCTTCTTTCCTGTCTTTCTTCTTTGCTCTTCTACCCTTTGCTCATCCGCTTTCTTTTCACTACTTAATTAGTCACACTTTTTTGGTCTTTTTTTCAAGACAGGGTTTCTGGGTGTAGCCTTGGCTGTCCTAGACTCACTCTGTAGACAAGGCAGCCTTGAACTCACAGAGATCCACCTGCCTTTGCCTCCTGAGTGCTTGGATTAGTGGTGTGCACCACTGAAGCCCGGTTATTCAAACTTTTAATATCAGTAAATTTTCAATTCCTATTTTTTTCTTTAAGAATTCTAGCTATCTTAGCTCTTTTCTTATCTATCTAACATATTATATTATAGTTGTTATTTGTAATTGCCTTTTCCTACATTTAAACATTTGGTATGCTTTTGAATTGTCATCTGTCTTCTTTCCTCTGAGTGGTGATGGGAACTGAATTTTGCCTTTAATTCCAGCACATAGAAGAGAAGCAGAAGGATCTCTATGAATATAAGGTCAGCTAGGGCTACATTAACAACTTATAAGCTTTCAGTTTTGATAAATATTTCTACTTATGTTCATTTGGTATATGTGATGTATAACATAAGCTATACCCATAAAATCTCACCAACATGGATCTCTAAATATGTGCTGAATGAGAACACTACCAACAGACACTTCTATAACATAGGAAGGGAAAAAGCTCACAAGAACTTTACCCTTTCTACCAAGAACTACAGGTAACAAGAGAATACTTAGAGCAAGAGAAATATTCTCCCCCACAGAAGAATACACCTATTCCCTATCCAATACCAGATGGCCAGCTCTGAAAATATATACATACAGGTAACACTATACACAAAGCTAACACTAAACAGACTAAGTGGGTTGACACAGGTGCACACACACAAACACATACCCCCCCCACAACTAAAACCACCAATTAAAAAAAGAGGCCATGAATTTGAAAGAGAGAAAAGTGGGTTACATGGGAGAAGTTGGACAAAAGATAAGGGAAATAAAAGTAATTATACAACACACATTGGGATATAACTTCTGGATTTTAATAATTTAATATGAGCAAAATAAAACCAAACATATTTATGATTTTTACCTTTGCTTCATCTGAAATATTGTCCCAGTTTCCACCACTCAAAGAGAAGTTCCCATTGCCAATGTGCAGGAGTATTTCCTCAGGAGTATCATTGGGGCCATTGGAAAATGGAGTGTAGCTGTTAATAAAAAAAATTTTGGTAAACAAGAGAAGGAAAGTACACTTTATAAGTGATGACTGTAAGTCTAAATACAAATATAAAAAACAGCCAAGAACATTATCTAATATTCCCCTTTATTATTAATATGAAAGTACATATCCATGGAATGAATTGAATGAATCCCAATACATTATTCAATGAAATAATGAACCCTACTAATTACTTCTTCAATTTTTGGTCAGTTAATAAATGCAAAATTAGGGTTGATTTTTATATAAATATACAGTGTTATAGTGAGAGCATGATAAAACACATATATTCTATTTTGATAGGCATAAGTTAGCAAGGAAATATATCTACGATAAAGTTTTAATTGCTATGTTATTTATAATATATTGATTGTACTACAGCTTATTCACTAACATTTTATTTTTATGAATATGACTACTGAAAACAAGTTACAATTTTCAGTTAATATCTATGAAAAACAAATATATTTAATATTTATTTCAATTTAATAAAAACTTCAGTTACTGAATTATGAACATACAATTATTCAGGTTTTGAAAATAAATTCAAAATTTAAAATGAATTTTAAAAATTAATGGAAAAAAAGTGATCACTTTTGTTCCACTTCATTAGATGTAACTGAAATTCCTTCATACTTGGGAATTGATAGGCCAATTTATAGCTAAAAGTATGAGAAGATAGCTCTATGCAGTAATGTTTATATCCCTTCATCTAACAATTAGGTTTACATAACATCAAATATATACTTACATGTAAAAATTTCTTGTTTAGGCATAAAACAAATATTTGAAAGTAGAAAGTAAGAAATTACATCCCATGTTCTGAAACCTATTATACTGATTATATCTGCTAAGATTACCATTTTATAAGGGCTTATAATATTTAAAATACTGACCTATACAATTAAATAGAATAGATTAACAGTTTAACCTCACTTTATTCTATTAATATTTAATTTTTCATATAGCAGTTATATTAAATGCTTAAAATGCCATACCTAATTATCTAATAGCTACTAGTTAACTGTTCAATTTTTCTCCATTTCTTTTTTTATTTTTTATTTATTTATTATTTTATTTATTTATTCATTTTATATCCTAGCTGTAGCCCCCTCTTTTCTCCTCCCAGTCCCACCCTCTCTCCTTCTCCTCCTATGCCCCTTCCCTAGTCCACTGATAGGGAAGGTCCTCCTCCCTTTCTATCTGACCCTAGCCTATCAGGTCTCATCAAGACTAGTGGGTCAGATGGAAGGGGGGGGGAAGATCTCCCCTATCAGTGGGATTGGAGAGGGGCATAGGAGGAGATGAGGGAGGGTGGGGTTGGGAGGGAATGAGAGAGGGGGCTACAGCTGGAATACAGAGCATATAAAATATAACTAATGTAAAAATTAAAATTAAAAAAAAGAAGACTGGTTGTACTGTCTTCCTCTGTGGCCTGGGAAAGCTCCTACCCCCCCAGGGGGAGGTGATCAAAGAGCCAGCCACTGAGTTAATGACAGAGACAATCCCTCTTCCCCTTACTAGGGACTCCATTTGGAGATTGAGCTGCCATGGGCTACAACTGAGCAGAGGTTCTAGGTTATCGTCATGCCTGGTCTTGATTGGCATGACCCTTAGAGAAGACCCTTATGCCCAGATTCTTTGGTTCTGTTTTTCTCCTTGTGGAACTCCTGTCCCCTCCAGGTCTTTCTACCTCCTTCTTCCATAAGATTCCCTGCAGTCTTCCTAAAGTTTGACTATGAGTCTCAACATCTGCTTCGATACCCTGCTGAGTAGAGTCTTTCAGAGGCCCTCTGTGGTAGGCTCCTTGAACAGCTAAAATAAAAAACTCAAGTGACAACACATGCTGGAAAGGATATGGAGAAAGGGGAACTCTCCTCCATTTCTGGTGGAAATGGAAACTTGTACAACCACTTTGGAAATCAATCTGGCGCTTTGTCAGAAAATTAGGAATAGTGCTTCCTCAAGATACAGATATACCACTCCTAGGCATGTATCCAAAAGATGCTCAAGTATACAATAAGGACATTTGCTCAGCCATGTTCATAGCAGCTTTATTCGTATTAGCCAGAAACTTTTTCATTTTTATTTTGATCGTAATAATTTATACAGTCATACACATTCACTTTAAAAAGTGTTACTCACTATTAAGAGCAAACTATCATTTTCATTAATCATAAATTACAAACATTAATATAGTCTAATTGTTATCACATCTGTTTGAGCTTATTCTCATCCTATTAATGGTGGACACATATATGCATGGTTCTCTACTTTAATATTGTTTAGTATTATGTTTATATTTGTTATCAATCATATTACTGCATCTGTTCCCAAGAACCAGAATTAAATTCTTTAAAAAAAATAACATTAACTTAATATTAACAGAGTTCAGTGGACAAGTTCCTATTAAAATATACAATACTACTATAGTTTAGCGATGCCATTAAAAAGTAAAGCACTTAAGGTAAAAACATTTTTTTTAATTTTTAAATGATTATTCTACATAAAAGTGTTTCTATCTTTTGTATTTTCTCATTTTACAAATACAAACTATGAGTTTTAAAACATTAATGGATTGTTTTAAACATTATTTTTCTTCTGTATTCTTTCTAGATGAAGATATGTACATAAAGTTCAAATATAAAGAGTTTGTAAATATCTTACCCAGCCAACATAGTGTAAAAAAGGACTCCTAGGCTCCAAATATCACAAGCGGCATCATATCCCTGTTGAGTGAGAACCTATGAAAAAAATACTCGTGGTATGAAATATTACTTACTATATAACCTAAGATTTTTTTATATACCAGATCACTGATTTTATTTTAATAATTTCATTAAAAATATAATGTACACTGAAGGGCAAAGGTAAAATATCTTTCAATGTGCAAATACTGCATAAACTGGGGTTACTTTAAACTGAGCAATGTTTTCTTCTATAGCCCAGCATGCCCAAGGACTCATTATAGTCAATGTTGGCCTTCAACTTGTTGAAATCATCTTCCTTCTACCTCTCAAGTACTGGAAATTCATCAGATATGAGATAACTCTTTGCTAGTGTTGTGTGTGTGTATGCATATTTTGTAAAAGGACTACAAGTTATACAACTATGAACTCCAATTAGGATTTATTTCTATGTAATGTGGGCATAAATTTGTAATAAAAATGGTAAAACAAGATAACAGAAAAATTTGAGAAGCAAGTCTGCTATCTTTAAAAAGGCAATATATTTATACAATAATTGTGTAACTACTTTTCTTTGGGGGCCAATATTAAAAAAAATCAAACAGTATTTTTACTATAAATTAATGTGAGATTTCTCTCACAAATTTCTCAACAACATTTACTAGAAAAATAAAGGAATGAGGGTACAGTTAGATAGCTCAATAGGCCAAGGTGCTTTCTGCCAAGTCTTATGACCTGAGTTTGATCCTGAGTCCTCTGACCGCCACATGTATGCCTTGGCATGCACATTCCCCTCATGCACATAAATATATAAAATAAACAAATTAATGTAATTTTTTAAAATTAAAGAAAAGATAAAATTTAAAGTACACTGTTAAAACCTATAGGCATAGAAACAAAAAAATATTAATTCATTAACGCTGGAGACTGCATAAATATTAGTGTGGACTTTTCATCTAAAAGGTTAAAAATATTAGTCTTGGCTTTCAAATAATCAGACATAAACAATAATTAACTTGCTTAAAATATACTTCTAATTCTTATAAAATATATTTATACTCAAATGTATTTATAGAAATACACATGTGTTTATGCATGGTGGTGCAGATTTGTAATCCTGGCAATCAGGTACAGACAAAAAGATCAGAAGTACAAGGGCAGTCTTAGCTATGTAAATATCAAATACAAGGCCAGCTTTGACAATATGAGACGTTGTCTTAGAACAACAAAGAACACATATGTAAAATTGATAGGCTATGGAAGACTGGACTACAAAACCCTAATAAGGTGCAACCTAAAGCTATATAGCACTGTTTTTATTCTTATTTGTCCTCATTTCTCATCACCTCTTACAGTTCTAGGCATCCCTTGTTTACCCAGTTTGTCCTGTTTATATTTGTACTTTCACAGCCTTACCAGAAGTGGTGGTTTGTCAGAGCACGGTCCATGAATGAAGCTGCATGAGGAGAATTCTGAGAACTTGTGCAATAACTCCAAAGAACAAGGCAAAAGTCTTGTAACCTGTTTTTCTCTATAACATGTGTTATTCTTGAAATGTGCTTTTGGGTTTATTTAAGATTATCAATCATCTTACCGTACATTATTATACTGAATAATGTTTCCAAGCACAGGTTGTCCTTGTGGTTGTATAAAGCCTAAAATCATGTGACCTTCCCTAATTTGACCTAGCTTAACCCTCTGAATATAGATTGTCTGATGGTCTGAATGAAGTTGGCTATTGTTTGAGACTTTAGCCATCCTCATTTTTTAGGCTCTGCTCTTCAGTATCATGCCACCAACTAGAGCAGCAACAGTAGTTTTTATCTGTTGACCTACATACTTGGGAAGCCACCCCCCCCCAAAAAAAAAAGAAAAGAAAGGAAAAAGGAAAAAGGAAAGGAAAGGAAAGGAAAGAAAAGAAAGCAAAAATGAAAGGAAAGGAAAAAGGAAAGAAGGAAAGGAAAAGGAAAAGGAAAAAGGAGGGAGGAGGGGGAAGGGGAAGGGGGAAGGGAAGGAAGGGGGAGGGGGAAGGAAGGGGGAAGGAAGGGGGAAGGGGGAGATGGAAGAGGGAAGAGAGGGAAGAGGGAAGAAGAGGGAAGAAGGAGAGGGAATAAGAAGAGAGGGAAGAAGAAGAGAAGGAAGAAGAAGAGGGAGGAAGAGGGAAGAGGGAAGGGAAGGGAAGGGAAGGGAAGGGAAGGGAAGGGAAGGGAAGGGAAGGGAAGGGAAGGGAAGGGAAGGGAAGGGAAGGGAAGGAAAAAGGGGAAAGGGAAAAGGGAAAAAGGGAAAGGGAAAAAGGGAAAAAAGGAAAGAAGGGAAAGGGAAAGGAAAAGGAAAAGGAAAAAGAAGGAAGAAATTAACAACAAATGTTTCATTATCTCTATAACTTCTCTAAGTTACAAGAACAGCATAGCTGTGCAGTAGATGTCATAATGTTATGGATGATCATATAATTTTTTTCTAATTTCTTATACATATAAACACATTCTGTGTGAGTAAAAGAGATGACAATAAAAGAATAATTTTTGTTCTATAATTGGAATTAAACGTCCTACAATAATTACAATATGAAACCAAAATTAAACAAGGCATGATGGAAGAATTAATGAATTAGGATCTATTCAGCCTGCATTTTATATCTCTTCACTTGGATTAAGATAATTTTAGAAAAATAAAAGTCACAATTAAAGTTAACTCCACAACCTTCTTTTTCAATTGGCTTTGCAAGTCTTCAAAAAGTAACAAACATATAGAAATTCTCATTCCCTTTACACTAAAGTATAATTTAAATTTTTGACATAAAACATGATAGCACAAGGCCAGAGGAAAGCAAGGTAATTTCAAAATTACCTTATCAGAGGCTGTGAATATATCATTCTTCAGGTTTATTATAACTGCTATTAATTCAAGAACATTCTAAGGCTTCATTAGACATTTACTATCAATCAGTAATATAATATTCATGGTTTTAACATACTTGCACAGCTTCTTCAATCTTTATGATTCCATTTTAAAATAGAATATCTTGTATATAGTTCCATACTATATTTGGAGAGATCTGACTTTTTTTAAAGAATAATATATTTCATTTATAACAATTTAGAAATATTTACTAACTTTTGGCAGGGTTTTCAGCACTTGATAAAATATTTCAAAGCACTGAAAATATACAAGTGCAAGCCAAATGCCAGTTATGGAGAAATAGCCTCCACATACCCACCTGAAAATATTCACTATTACAATAAACAAAATTTCTTACTGCAATGGAAGTGGGATTAAATAGCAGCAGTGTACTGTGTTGTAGTTATAAAACATTCATTTGGAATGGCTGTCTAACTATTAATCTTAAATGTTTACTTAACCATTAATCTAAACATACATACACTGTGTTTATTCATTTTAACTTGTTTTTTTTTTTTTTTTTTTAGTGTTATTTTGGGACACATTCATTTTCATTATAGGAAAATAATTTTGCGAACAGCTAATTTAAAATACAGATTTATAGATAGTACATATATATAATATCTGCTTAAAATGATCAATTATTTGATAGAAAATATAAAATACGTATGTGAGATAAGAATTCACTTCCATATGATTTTATTACACTTCTCTGGGTTTGGCAAATTCAATTTCTGAAAATAAGAGTTGTAGATATTTTGATTAATATGCAATAACTGCCATGTGTTATCAACATCTATAACATGTTAAGAAAAAATCCTGACTTAGAAACAAATATTTTAAAGAACTTTAGGTAGCCAATGCAATCCTGATTGATTTTTCACCAACATTGTCTTCCCTGCCTCAGGAGGTATTGGTAAGAGCTTCCCAAAATGTAATCTGTATTCCTGAACTTTTCTAGCCTCATCTTTCCTGACTATTCTTCCCCAAGGAACAGTGAATGATTATGCAGGAAAAAAGTTTCTAAGTAAAAACACCTTCTAAGGCAATCTAAAGCTGTATCTCAGTCCTAAAATGTCTGAGTCTCAGAAAAGCACGGTGACACATGCCTGTAACCGCAGCCATCAGGAGAGAAATAAAGACTTAGTGTGTATTCCAACTATAGTAACAGCCAGAGTTATACAGTGAAACCCTGTTTTGAAATCATATGATTTCTATATTAGTATGCAGTCTAGTAGAACAGATTACTCTGATTATAAAATGTTTGTTTTAGGTGCTAGTAATGATCTGATTCTTTATAACACTAATTATTATAATTCAAAATTATAAAAGAGCTTTATAGTTGTGAAGGAAGACAACTCTGCTTTTACCTGTCTTCACTAATATAGTTAACATCATTTAGACTTAATTGAAGGAAAACAATGAAAGGTAAATTGGAAACTTAAAGACTACCTCAGGTGCTACAAAATTTGCAGTGTAGCACGGAGTTAACAGAAGTCCATTTTCACCTCGAAGCTGTTTTGCAAACCCAAAATCACAGATCTTAATTGAATCTGCATTGGCTGACTCATCCATGTACAAAATATTACTGGGCTTAAGATCACGATGAACGACCTTGAACATAAAAGAAAACAGTATCATTTTCACAAAACTAAAAGACTGTTAAAAACTTCATAAATTTATAGGAAAATCTCATTTTTTCCTGGCTCTACTTTTAGAAATAATGGTCTTACCCAGAGCCCCACACTCATTTCAACAATTTACACAAAATAAAAAAGTTAAGAGAATGTATGTCCAAGAGAATTTAGAAAAGCAGACAGAAACTAATGAGGAACACACATTGGCTTGAAGGAAGAAACAAAGTTATGGGTAGATTCCCATCTACATCTGTGGTTTTTACCAAGAATTAAGAGCAGTTTCTATTATGCACAAGGGTAGTGTATTTTCATTTGAAAAAAAAAAAGTAGTTTTTCTGTCTGAGAAGAGCAGAGATAGTGGAAAAGCACATAAACAAAGCATTGAATACTATAAAGCAAAGAACAAGACCTGGCATATAAAACAAAAGCGTTTGGAAACAGTTTGAACTTTATATGAAAATAAAGAATATGAAGCCATCAGAGCTAGTACAATAGGGAATTTTCAGTTCAAACCCACTTAAAAGAAAGTAATAACCACTGAAGAACAGCAACACAATATAATTTTCTTCATAACTCTTTATCATCAGAGGATACAATATTAAACCATCTGATTTACACAAACAAGACAAGTAAAATACAGCCAGAAGAAAAAAAAAAGACAATCAAGTTTTGATTTGCAGATGAACCAAGTTAGAATTTATACAGTTTTAAGTAGTTATAATAAATATTCTCAAAGAAATAAAAGAAAACATGTTTATAATGCATGGACTCTCAAGAAAAAAATGTAAACTCATTAGAAAAATAGAAAGAATGAAGAAGGACCAAATAAATGGATAAAATTGTTAAAATTCATGTGATTATTTTTCTGCTTCTACTGATTCAATCTAATTTTAGCATACATAGAGATTGTATCCTATGATGATATAAAATTATGAATATATTTTATTCTCTTACTCTTCTCCAGTGGTTATTATTTGATTACAGGGTAATACTGGCTGAATTTGACCTGAAGATTCCTAGTTTGCTGTACCAGCTCTGATGTCTCTATATTTTCTATTTATCAATGAACAACAATGTATGTTCTTTACGGAGAAGGGCAAAACTCTTACTCAGTATTTGAATCTGTAATGCCTTTTACTTACAATGGCTGTCATGTACAAATATTCAAAATGTCTGTTATTTAAGTTGCCTAAAAACAAGACTTATGAAGAAATAAATCGAACAATAGATGTTTATCATATTGTACTAAAATAATTCTGGTTTATTATGTCTTACAAAAAACTTCTGGTTATCTTTTCCAATGCTTTCAAAGAGTTTGACGAATTAACTTATAGTAGAATAACTGTATTCCTTTAGTATTATGCAACTTATTTCCAATCACTAAAGTCTTATGTTAAAGTTACATACACCATTATTACTTTATTACTTACAAGTGGGACTTAACATAATTTCTATTGATTAATTCTGAATTGCAATTTTAAGTATTTATAGTTCATAGGTATTGTTCAATTGCAAATGATATATTCTAAAATTTTTAAATTACTGCTTAATTTTTAAAATACACATATATAAATATGTATATAAAGTATACATATATATGTATAGGTTGATTTTTTATTTAATTTTATCTTCCTTATGTATGAACTGACAAAAGTAAACAAGTGTTCTCCACAAAATTTAACATATTGACATTTCAAATGTTTAGAAAAAAATTTACTGTTGTATTTAGGAACAGTTAGTGAGAGCCAATATATAATCTTTTTGGTGTTAGAATATAATACTTACAATATTTGATATTTTTGTGAATATTTTCATTTGCTTTTTGAAAAAAGAAAGGCTTGCCTGGTACTCACTATGTAGATTAGGCTGGCCTCAAATTTTAGTAAACTCTTTGCCTTGGTCATCCATGTGCTGAAATTTCAGGTGCAAGCCACCATGCCCTGCTTCATTTTTTTTTTTTTTTTATGTTTTAGTTTAATGTTTGATTAGGCTTGATAATTTCAAGAACAAAGTTTAGGTAGATACATAGTTCAAACTGCTTCCTATAAACTTCACTAGGCCACTGAGTTTTATAAGGCTATCCTCTAAAGAAATACAAGCTAGGCCCCATAACTGAAGGAAGAATACAACTGTATCTTACTCCTTGACAATGAAGATACTCAACGGTCTTCGTTATTACATACAGTACAGCACTGGCTTCCTGTTCTGAGAAACATTTTTGTTTGAGAATACGATCCAACAATTCTCCTCCTTTCATCAAATCCGTAACAAGGTACACATATTTCCCATCATCAAAGACCTAAAAAGGAATGTGTTTTATAATTTTATTACTTACAATCATTATCCTAACTTGTTATATTTGCTTTGTCAGAAAAACTCTAGACTCAAAGCACATTCATTATTTCTTTCTTGTTAATGCAGTACAGGCTGTACTGCAGAATGAAATGGATAATCTCCTATGCAGTTCTGTAAGCTCACATCAAACACAGAGATTGATAATATGGAGTTTTAGAAGTTGGAGGTTAGAGTTCATCAGACCACATAAGTAAAAGAGTAGAACTCTGTACCTTTCAAATAACATGTATAAATTATTTTCATTATATTACAAGTATTTCTTCAACAGTAACCATCTTTGTGATAGTACACATAGCATTTATCACTCATTATTAGTATGCTATCATAAATACATGTTGAATTCAAATAGTATATTAAAAGAAATAGATAAGAAAAACATTTGTACTAAGTATGTGATACATTTATTTCTACATATATACATACGTAGATATATATACACATGCACAAACTACTGTTTAAATATAACAAATCAAATATATATTATCTGAAACAAATCGATCACGATGGTTAATATTTTGCATATTCATAAAAATGAACTTATTTTGTAATAAATATTCATTATTCAGTGATATACATCAATATATGTTAACATGTTTATTTTATACATCTGGAGACTAATACTATTTGACTCAAGGAATGAGCCATAATTCTATAGCCTATTCTCTGTAATCAAGAAAGTATATTTTCCAGAATCAATTTCATTTATATTTATAGGAGTGAAAAATATTTCTAGTTGCAACATCACTGAGTTAATTATCATGGTATATTCAGATTGTTAGGATACTCTTTTATCAACAATCATCATTCTTTACTGAAATTTTTAACACAACATATATAGAATTACTGGAGAGTCAACAGAGCAAACTGAGATTCGGGGGCACAGCACTAAAAATACCACAGCTATAAAGAACTAGTCCATAACATAACTAACTTAATTAACACTTAGATTTTAGAATACTTACATCCTTTAAAGTAATAATGTTGGGATGTTGTCCATAACGCATCAGAATTTCAATTTCTTCTGAGGGGTCTCTCTTATTTTTATCAATGATCTAAGATATAAATGGAGAAAATTCTCAAAAACAGTCAAATGATTTTCCTTTACTAAGTAGAAAGAAATAGCTTCCATTTATACCTATCTCTATATCAAGCATTTTGCTGTTATTGTTTTGAAATGGATTGTGATATGTGGTCCAAGGTGTGCTACAAATCATCAAATAGCCCAGTCTGGCTTCAAACATATGACAATCCCTATACTTTTAAGTGCTGGAATTACATGAATGTGTTACCATGCCAACACTCAATAAGATTATATTATTAATAATTCAAGAATATCATTCCCCAATTGCTTTAACATTTAAAAATTCCTTACAATGGAAATTTAACAGAAAAGCTTTAACTGAGACTATACTAAATAATAACATGCAAATTTTATATTTGCTTAATCTTAATATACTATCCTAAATATTAGTCAAGAAAAAAACCCAAAAAGTAACAAAATAATGCTATTTCTGCAAAATTAAAAATGAAAACATTAAATCACAACCTTTTCTCTCACCATCTTATTTATTGTTCTAGTAAAACTGCATATAAGCTAATATGTAATACAAATACATACATTAATTAATAAGGCTCAGAAACAATACCTTGACTGCAAATTCCATGTTGGAAACTGAGTGTATGCATCGCTTGCACACAGAATATGAACCAACACCAATATCCTCTTTCAAGTCATAGACTTCGCTAAACTGAGCAGCATTTCCATTTATCTGTTTATTAAAAAATTAAATACTAATGAAAATGAAGTAATTCCATATTTTCTTCATTATTTAGTACTAAATAACCATATACCTTAAAGGTTAAATTGTTTTAAATTCTAGAAATTTTACCCATATTTAAAAATTGTGTAAATAAATTTTGAAACAACTCTCTGTATTGTAGGTTTTCTAAAACCCCAAAACAATGTGATAAGCTGACTAATTTATAAATCACTCCAAAAATTCCTTGCTAAAGCAGGAATTGTTAAAGCTATAATAAATGAAATTAATTTACACCTGCTCTCTCCCAAACCATAAACACCTTTAACTTAATTGTACAGAGAAGTAAATGAAGTCATTAATAATTACCTTTTTCTAGCTATTAAACATTCATTATTAATAAACATTGTGATGATGAAGAATTTACCTGGACAATAGGTAAGACATTTGAACTTGTAACAGGAGTGATTTTATAGTCTTCTGCAATAGAAGCTGCAACAAAGCTGAATCCTTTGAAGAGTTGATGAGCATTTGCACTGGCCGGTAAACCAGGGGAATCTAATATGTGAAAGTGATAGTTTACTAGAATTACACAGACGTTTCTAATTACAATATCAGCATTTTTAAAATATGTTCAAAAGCCATTATATGTCCCAGTTTGACACACTATAAATATAACTCATAATTAAGATTCTCTTCACTTTGTAGGCATATGTTATGTGCTCAATAGTTTCTGTTTAATAACTGCTGCATCCTCATACCAAACACATAGTAGAAATTCAATATTTCTTGAAGGAATATATGAAACTGATGTAAAAAAAAAAGTAAATTAGCTCAAATTCTAAACAGAGCCAGTGCATATCTCATACCTAACCTTGTACCACTATCCAGAAAATTATTAGACTGTCAAGGAATTTACAAAACAAAACAAAAAAAACTTCCATCTTTTACCCTTCTCCACACTACTGTGACCAGTATTTCCTAATTACAGATTGTAGCAATACTATTTATAGGATCTACATTTTTAAAAAGACCAAACTAATTTTGAACAAGCACATTTTAAAGATTTTTACTGAAAAAGTTTAATTTATTTAGTAATTACTAGAAAAGCTTTAATTAGAAACAAATATGTATTACCTTTAGGTGTTTTGGCAGTAAATTCAGGGTCAAAACAAAATGTATCATCCGGTTTTCCAGAAGCAGGTCTAAAGGGAGGCTGAACTTCTCTTTTATATAATTTCTAAAGGCAATGAGTAATGAAAAATCATTTGACATTTTAAAATATTATTAATTTATGTTAGGAAGTCCTAATACAACATCTAAAATTCAAATGCTCTAACATCTAAAATATTTTGAATGTTAACATGACAACATAAGTGGACAAGCTGAAGCCAAAACACAGGCACATTAAAAATAATTTATAAAATTATCTTCAAGCTATATGAATAAGGTATATATTAAACATAAAAGAATTTCATATTACTTGGGATCTATCTTCAAATTCATTCACTTCCACCCATGTATATGCATGCATGCATACACATGCATACATGCACACACACACAAAAAAAAACAAAAGCTAGAAAAATCTTAAATTTTTGAGATATGCAACTTGTACTTGGTAAGAGATATTGTCTGATTATATTGACAATCTATCAGAACATTAGAAATATTTAAACAGGCTTCAGATAACTGGTAGCCAAATTCTATAATTGAGACAACATAATACTCAAAATCTAACGAAGTCTGAGAACATATATAAAATTACAGTGATGTCACAGCTTGTACTGTAAAGAAATAAAGATGTTCACTTCTGGATATCAAAATAAATTCTCCCTAGAGCTATGACCATACAGAGCATATCACAATGTAACCATTTTGAAATAACTAACATAATCAACAATCAGATTGTTTTTACAAATATTCCATATAAAATAATCTATTTCCATATAAGATACATTAAATATAATCTTTGTATTTAATAATCTAAGTTCCTATACTGTGTATGGGTAAGCAAGACTGTCGCAAAATAAGATATTCTGAAAATTTCTCTCAATAAACACACCAAGTGGAAAAGCCATTCACATACCGAACTAGTTTCAACAATGATAAAATAAAAATCAATCTAGTGATTGTAGGGCCTGTTGGCCTAATTGAATATCTACAAGTAGAAAAATGCAAATAAATCCATATTTATCGCCCTGCACAAAACTAAAGTCCAAGTGGATCAAAGACCTCAACATAAAACCAGATACTCCAAATCTGTTAGAAGAAAAAGTGCGGAAGAGCCTTGAACTCATTGGCACAGGAGACAATTTCCTGAACAGAACACCAACAGCACAGGCTCTAAGATCAACAATCAATAAATGGGAAGTCATGAAACTGAAAAGTTCTGCAAAGCAAGAACACTGTAAACAGAACAAAATGATAGCCTACAGACTGAGAAAGGATCTTCACCAAGTGTCGTGCATCTGACAGGGGGCTAATATCCAGAATATATAAAGAACTCAAGAAGTTAAACAGCAACAAGCCAAGTAATCCAATTAAAAATGGAGAACAGAGCTAAACAGAGAATTCTCTGTAGAGGAATACAGAATGGCAGAGAAACAAAGAAATGCTCAGCGTCCTTAAGTCATCAAGGAAATGCAAATCAAAACCCTGAGATTTCACCTTACACACTGCAGAATGGCTAAGATCAAAAATTCAGTGACAACACATGCTGGAGAGGATGTGGAGAAAGGGGGACCTTCGTCCATTGCTGGTGGGAATGTAAACTGGTACAACCACTCTGGAAATCAATCTGGTGCTTTCTCAGAAAGTTAGGAATAGTGCTACCTCAAGATCCATCTATGCCATTCCTGGGCATATATCTGAAAAAATGTTCAACCATACAACAAGGACATTTGTTCAACTATGTTCATAGCACCATTATTCGTAATAGCCAGAATCTGCAAACAAACCTAGTATTATAAAACAAAGACTCATTCAGGGAAAAAGGCAGGAAGACAAACTCCATGCTGTTTACAACAGATCCATTTCACTGTTAACAACATGTATACAGTGAAAGTGAAGCCACTGAGTTAAATAATTCATACCAATTCTTAATTTAAAACAAAGTGTGAGTGACCATGCATCAGATAAATTAAAGTTGAAGTCATAAGCACTGATAAGTTAGGGTCAGATGGAAGGGGAGGAGGTCCTCTATCAGTGGACTTGGAGAGGGCACAGGAGATGAAGGAGGGAGGGTGGGGTTGGGAGGGAATGAGGGGTGGGGCCACAGCTGGGATACAATGTGAATAAACTGTAAATAATAATAACAATAATAAAATTTTTAATAAAAGAAAAAGAAGAATCTGTTACAAAACAATTCTCAATGGATTTGGAAGCACTTAAAATTAAAATCACATCAAGTATCCTTTTCCTTATGGTACAATAAAACTGGAAACCAGTAACAAGATGAATTTTGGAAACTATACATGTAAGATAATCAAATATTTTACATTTTAACAACTAATGGATTGAAGAGAGAAAAATATCAAACAAGAATTTGGAAAATTTGAAACTAATAGTAGAAACAACTAACAAAAATAATACCAATAACGCCTCTATTTAAAAATTATAGAATTTTCAAATTAATAATATTACTATATTTTAAGGAACTAGAAAAGTGAGTTCAAAGATGAGCTTATCAATCCAGGTATATAAATTAAAATCTTTATGAATAATATGGCAGGATTTCTCCATGTTTTTATTTTTTTTTCATCTCCAAATTTAAAGAAGTATCCATAGTAAGATATTTTATCTTAAATTTATTTTTTCCTAAAATGTAACAATGAACAATCTGAAATTAAATAATACCTGGGTTTACTACTGTTATTACTACCTGTAAGAATCTGTTACAGCCTTACCCATACTCCCTTTCTCATCCTCTCTCATCTAGAATGGAAGTATAACATCAATCATATTTAACAGTTACAACAAATGACAAACAAAAATTACTAAGTATTTCCACACATCTTTTACCTAAAGGAACTGCCATGTATGTAATACCTATAAGCATAAATAACAGACTTAATAAAAATAGATTATGCTAATCAGCAAAGCCTCTAAATACCATTGATTCTAATGAATTTTGCAAGTTATATTTGTCTGAAAATAAATATAACTTATTTACGGAAAAAGTTATATTCAACTTACATTCCAGTCAACAGATTCAAAAAAAGCATGTCTTTTCACTTCTTCAACTCCTGCTGATCCTGTAATATAGAAATGATTTTAATGGCATAAACTTTTTTCTTGCTATTTAGCTTTATGCTATTAGATATAAATATGACTGCATATTTCCCTTAGTTCCTTGTTGTAAGCAATCTATGTTTTTTTGTTGTTGTTGTTTTTGTTTTGTTTTTTTTTGGTCTGGTGTCTTATTAATTTGTTTTCCTTTATCTATAATAAAAAACTGATAGATATACTGAACTGTATAAGGCCACATAAGACACTAAAAACTAAAATGCTTCACAAATACAATTTTGATTTAGTATAATATTAAGTAATTTTTTTTCACAATTCTACTCATACCTCATATTCATATACTAGGTTACAATGGGAAAAATACCTTTTAAACTTAACCCAGGCATAGATAAAAGGATCATATCAGGATCTAGAAAAAGGCTTCTGAAAATTGGTCAAATATTGAGGAGTTCTGAAAACATAACTTTGAAGTATATTAGGATAGACAAAATAATCATTCTCAAACACCTAAAAGGATTATCAATAAAAGGTAAACTGCATTTTTCAAAAGAAAACCTTATATTGTACATAATACTACACGTTGAACAAAATTTTCACTAAGTATTGTTTTAATAAAAAAATTATAAGAATACTAAAAATTCACTATTCAAAGAATACATATATAGCAACCTTAAATAAACTTAAACTAGAAGATATAAACTTAAAATAGAAGATATAAAGACATAGTTACTTAGCTAGTTTATGTAGTACATTATTATAAAGGTTAAAGAAGATGAGAAATACCCAATCTATTGACTGGATTCCTTTTGAATAACATCCTTAAAAGACTCTGTGCTTCAGCACTAAGAAATTGTGGCATTCCAAGTTTTGCTCTGAAAAACATTGTAGAAAATTACACTTAAATCTAGACACAGTAAGTCAATAAATCACAAAATTAATTTAAAAGGTTTAGTAAGTCCCCTATGTATTAGAAGAGAAAAAGATAGTAAAAATGGTCTTTATTGACAGCCATATAAAGATTTTAATACTAGAGGCAATAATTTTTTTCCCTAAATAAAACAATAGTTTTCTACTTACTTCAGTATCATATTCATGGTCTCATTTCTGTCTTTACCTTGAAATGGTAAAGTGCCAGTAAGCATTTCAAACTAGAAAAAATAAAATAAGCACAATTTATTACAACCTAGATTATATAATTAGTTTTTTAAAAAAAGATTTATGGTTATTAAATCAAGCAGGATTCAGTTGACAGTAACTCAAAAGACAATCAGAAATTGGTCACTTAAAGAATATCATTGCTTCGTCTATCTCAATGTAGAGTTTGACGGAGTTGAACTGCAGCAGATGAAACCAAGTAGTTTTATTTTATTTCTTATATGTCTAATGTCTCAATCTAAATGCTCCCCGATAATCTGGCGCGGTGGTGCACCCTTTAATCCCAGCACTTGGGAAGGCAGAGACAGGCAGATTCCTGTGAGTTGTAGGACAGCCTGGTCTAAAGTGTGAGTTCCAGGACAGCCAAGGCTAACAGAGAAACACTGTCTCGAAAAAAAACCAAACCAAAACAAAAAATAAATGCTCCCTGAAAATAAGCGGTTTTATAAACATGGTTGTTTAAAGTAAACAATAATTGGAAAGCATCTGGGGTTTATTCATGCCAAGACAAACCTTTAAAGTTACCATTCTAAATACCTTCTAACCCCTATACCAAAATTAAGAAAACAATTAAGAAATAGAAATAAAAAATTAGAGATAAGCCCAGGGGTCGTGGTGCATTCCTGTAATCTCATTTATTCCAGAATAAAAAGCCAAAGGACTACATGTTAAATGCCTGCCTGAGCTAAACAGTAAGTTTAAAGCCAGCTGGGTATCTTAGCAGAACCCGTCATCAAACTAAGTTTTTAAAGGCCTTAGTAAAAAGCACAGTGGTAGAACAACTTGATACATATACAACACCGGGAGATTAAATCCAACACCCTCAATGTAACATAGGAAATAAGTACAGCATAAGATGCACACACACACACACACACACACACACAC